CCACTCCCCCTGCTTGTGTTCCCTCTCTCGCTGTGTCTCTCTCGGTCAAATAAATAAATAAATAAAATCTTTAAAAAAAAAAAAAAATTGGATTCATAGTAGCCAAAAAGTGAAAACAACCCAAATGTCCATCAACTGCTAAATGGTTAAACACAATGTGGTCTGTCTATAAAATGGAATATTATTCAGCCAAAAAAGGGAAGGTAGGGACACATGCTACTACATGGATGAACTTTAAAAACGTTAAGCTAAGTGAAAGGAACAAAGACCACATCATGTCTGACTTCATCACGTATCTGAAACAGCCAGATACAGGCGGATCCAGAGACAAGGTGTCGTAGACCGGTGGGTGCCAGGGGTTGGAGGGAGCGGTAACAAGGAGTGACTGCTCAGTGGGAACGGGGTTTCTTCCCAGGGTGACGGAAACGTCCTGGGATTAACAGTGAGGGGTGCACGACACCGTGAATGGCTACGAACTACTGAACATGTCTGCCGTCGCGTGGGGTGCGATGGTTAGCTGTCACTGGGCTCCAGCTACCTCTCCTTGGCTCTGTCCCTGTCTCCGGCTGGCTCCTGCTTTCCGCTGCGTGCAGGTGTGTGAGAACCCCAACAGCTGGAGGTGGCCCCGCTTCACCCACCAGGAGACTCCCCAGCACCCCTTGAGGTTAAAGTCTGGCTCCACCAAGACCAGCTCCAGGGCACAGCACTGTCTACCAGCCAAAGGAAGGGAGGAGTAACCTGGTTCACTGAAAACTCATAAATCTGGTCTCTGCTGACCAGGTAACGCACACCCCTAGTAAAGTTAAGTCAAACAGTTAAAAAAAGGGAGACAGTGAAAGTCTGTCTCCCTCCCACCTCCCCCCAGGCCCCACCCCAACCACCTCCCATCAGCCGCTGACAGCATAATGTTAAACTCACCTGGCTCTAGGGTGACTGCTTGCCTTCCTGGCCACTAGAAAAATGTCCTGTCTGCATCGTGACCCATTACACAACTTTGAACGGGACTGAGAGTCTTTCCTGAAGAACATCCTACCCACAACTCAAGGTGGTCATCACATTACAGAGCAACTATTTTTCAGACTTAACACAAAAGTCAAAAGCCACGGTCTGGAAGGGGCCCAGGTGGGCATTTCCAGAACCGCCTTCACTATCCCCATGTATGCTCAGCAAGACTTTAGCCCACAAGCTCCCTGGGGCCACAGTACACAGGCCATGGACCACGTGAACCGCCAAGCTCCGGGCTGCCATGGGACTCTGGCTTTCAGTGAGCGAGACCTGCAATGGCCTGCAGTTTGCCCCAAGGCCCAGAGGGCGCCTGCCAAACAGAGTTTGGGGGTCTGCCGAGGTCCCCGACGCCAACTGCATCTCCAAAGGACATCTGGGGCTGACACGGCCTTCTGGACATGGCTGCCAAGCCCTGAGTGGGCAGGGCCCTGACCCCACGTCCCTGCTCCCCATGGCCTGTCTCTGCACCCACCAAACCACTGCGTGCCCCCAGGCTCTCACAAGGCCAGCCTTCTGCTGGGAACACCCTTGCCTCTTCTTGGCCTGGTCACCTCCTGCTCTTCCTTGCAGATTGCTCCAAGACGCCTGCCTCATGCCCACCAGCCTCCTGAACTAAGCGCCGTCCCAGGACGCTGGTATCCCCATCTTGCCCACATCTGCCCAGGACCTTGAAGGCAGGACCATTACCTGTTTGTGTCTGGGTCCCTGGATAGCAGGACAGAGCCTGGCATTTGGTACACTTCGGCAAACATCCAGGGAACCGAGCTGAATACAAAAGATGGTTCCAGGTTGGGGAAACAGAGACCCCAAAGAGATACAGGCAAGCTGCCATAAAATATACAACTGCAAGTTCCCAGACAGATCAGCCCTGGCTGGCAGGGCTCAGAGCACCCAGAGGGAGCCTCCCGAGCAGCAGGCTGGGTTGGAAGCCATCACCAAGCCCGCAGGCCAAGCCCTGTGTCCAGCGATCAGGAAACCCCTATGCCCAAGATTTCTGCCCACACTCATGTTGCAAATCTCCTCCCACAGATTCTTACGTTTGGCATTAAACAGAACTTTAAAATACCCACTTAACCCAGTAAATGGACTTACTGTTGCTTTAAGTAACAAATAAGAATTACAGTAAATGCATCCTTTCATCAGCAATCATAGTACGTATATCCTAATCTCCGGCTACGCCTAATTACAGCAACTTGATTGAGAGGTTTCATGCTGTGTATTACGGTTTCTTAACCTGGGGTGCTGGGTGCAATTCTGAGGCCAAGAGACCAGACACATGTCCCAGAGGAGGGACAAGGCATTTCTGATGCGTGTGGGAAGCAGAGAGGAAGTCAGCTTTCCCTCTACCAAAGCAGAAAACCATTCAAAACAGGAAAGCACTGTACCACAGTCCTCAGGAGGACCCGACCAGACGTTACATCCGGGGACTGGGGAATCCCGGGCAACCACCACCAAAGACCTGCCCCACTCCCACCTCCACCAGGTGAGAGAGAGCAGGCAGCTCGGCCCTATCCAGCAGGCAGGCACGGGAGACAAATGAGGCAGGTATTTACCGAACGGTGGCCAGGGGTCTGAAGTGCTGGCTGCGGCCGCCGGCCCGCCCCAAGGGTTTGTCTGGTTAGCTGAGGCTGACCGGCCCCAGGGCTCTGCTTTCTGGGCAGCAGGGCCTGAGCTGGGGAGGGCGTCCATTAAATCCAACAGAGTGGTCTGCTGTGGGTGGGAGCCATGCTTTTGAGACAAAGAGAAGGGGACAGGTTTTACTTTGCTACAGTTACAGCAAATACCCACGAGTTAGCTGTTAGCCGTATATAGCGTATATACCGTCCCTGCCTCCTGGGACAAGAAGCCCTCTGGACGGGGCCGGGAGGAAACTGAGCTGCCCCATCTCCTCCCATCTTCGGCCCCACCCGGCCCACCACCCCACTAACCACTTCCCACTCCAGCCCAGGCTCCGCCCACACGGAGCTGTGTGCTTTGGGCCCAATGCCCCACCCACTTGCAAACAGCCCCCACGGCTTTCCAGGATAACGCAGGCTTTCCCCGGGCTGCAGCGTCCCTCCAGAATGCTGTCCCCACCCACCCACCTCGGTCCCCCCCAGCTGCCAGCCATCATCCAGGGCCCCCTCTCCCGGGGCCTGCCCTGCCCTGCCCTCCTGCTCCCACGGCCACCAGAGCTGCAGTCAGGGATCCCGTGGCACCGTGACATGGGAGACCACCGGAACCCCGGGCCCTGTGGGGGAGGGGGGCCTATCTTGTGACTGGAGGAGCTTGCTGGGAGCAGAACCACGTCCTGGTCATCTAGGGCCCCACGCGGGCAGCTTGGTGCAGGGTAAGGCTGATGATAGCAGTGAAGCCCAGCACTACTGAGCCTTAGCCCATGCCAGGAATCTGTCCCAAAGCACGGGACACTTGGCTCATGTAACAGTCACCTGACCACATGGCTACCACTGTGCTCGTTTACAGGGGAGGAAACTGAGGCCCTGGTCCACGGAGGCCCCTCACCCGTGCCCATCTTTTCTCAGGCTGGTCTCGGGAGTAAGGGCACCAGGTGGGGGTGTTTTCAATCAGGTCCTCCCCTCACTCGTGCTCATCACAAAGGAGTACACGAGAAGGGGGAGAAGGCGCCGTGCTCTGTGGGTTAGGTTTGGACGCTCGGCAACCATGGTGGGACGGGCTCTAACACTGACGTTCCCGGTGAGACGCTTACCTCCTTCTGTTTTGGAACCTTAACCGTGTCTCTTCGGCTTTCTTCTAGGGCCATCTGTAATCTGAGGTCGTCACCCCGCCTGAGGCGTTCTTCCTGAAGAGGACAATGGGACTGTAATGACATCATTGTGCAGAACAAAGCAACGCGCCAGGAACAGGACGGGCAAATCAGAGTATGCATTATTGCAAAGGAAGATGGGAGAACAACTCGTAAAATAGTTACTCTTCTATCCTGCGAGTGTAGCCCAGAGGGCTCGCGTCTGCCCCTCCCTGCTGCCTTGTGTGGGTTCCCTGGTTTTGGGGTCCCACCGGGGGGCGGGGGGAGGCACAGGCACGGCCAAGTCGGGGAAAGGGAACACGTATTCTACAATGCTTTTATCTTACAATGAAAATGGCTTTGTAATTCTAATTATAGAAGCAACACGTCTCCTTGTAAAATACAAAAGCCTGAGAGCCCAGAAAGGAATCAGGAAGAGGGTGAAAATCACCTATCACTGCATGTTTATTTCGAGCATTTCAAACAGAAATGATTCACTATACAGTTGACCCTCCATCAACACACGCGTTAAGGGCACCAATCCCCCCAAAATCCACGTATAAATTTGACTCCTCAAAAATTTAACTACTAAGAGCCAACTGTTGACTGGAACCTAAGTAAATCGCTTAAGGCATATTCTGTGTATTATGCTGTGTTCTTATAATAAAATAAGCTAGAGAGAAGAAAATGTTACTAATAAATTAAGAAAGGGGCAATGGATTTACAGCACCTTATTTATTGACAAGAATCCACACTTACGTGGAGCCGCACAGCCCAAAACTCATGTTGTCCAAGGGTCACCTGTATCTAATTTGTATTTATTTAAGGCAAAGTTACCACATGCAGGAGACTGGGCTGTCCTAGCTTTTACAGCATCACAAAATAGAAATAAGTTCCTTGTATTTTATTATAAATATGATGAATCACAGAGATGAGTTATGAGCGGAAACGGGCTCCGACTGTCCATCTGTCCCTGCATTCCTGCCCCTTCTCCCCGGGCTGTCCGTGACAGAGCCAGGCACCCACAGGGACGGATCTAATCGCTGTGGTTCTCCTACTGGGAACAGGGGGGCTGTAACTGAAGCTGTCCACCGCGGTCGAGCTTTAGGAGGTCTCCAGTTACAGCGACACCAATCATGCCAGGACAGCCGCCTCTGCACATTCTGTCGAACCACCCCTAATCTCTGTCTCTGCACATCACTTCTAGCGCCTCGCGCTACCTGACTCCGTCTACCCTCCCTAACCCAAGGTCAGCAGGGACAGACCTGATGGCCAGGGCCAAAGGGACACGGCTTTGAAAGGTCATTTCCAACACGCCTTTCCCTCCTTGTCCATGTTAAAGTAATGTGTGATTAGTAGAGAAAAACAGGAACTGAAAACAAGTTAAAACTACACACACTTCCGTCACCGAAACATAGTAAGGGCTCTTATTACCTGCAGCTTTCCCTCCTAGCCTTGTTTTTCAGCATTCAGATGCACCTGAGCCATCTTACCAAACTGTCTTCCCCCGGGGCTGAGCCCACACGCCTTGCACGGAGGGGGCTGTGGACACCCAGGCTCGTTCGAAGGGACCATGACAAGCGGCTGTTGTCAACAGAAGTGTTTCTGGGGAGCACTCTGACCAGTTCATCCACTGGCCCACAAAAAGCTTCCCTAAATGGAACTGCGTAGGGCCCCCTCCCTGACCCGGGGCGGGGGGGCGGCCAAGAACACCGTTGTGGCAACGCCAAGTCCCATCTCGGGAAACAC